TTGGGCCTTCTTGCACTTGTACCCATTCTCATTACCTTACATTTTGAGGTATTGAATTTCATTAGCCACTTTTCTGACCACTCATGCAGATTATTTAGATCCTCCTGAAGTTCTCTACCATTGTTCTCGTTTTTTACTTTCTTCACAATCTTTGCATCATCTGCAAACATATTCATGAATGAATTTACAGACTCTGGTAGGTCATTTACATATACAAGGAACAAAAGTGGCCCTAAAACTGAACCCTGTGGAACTCCACTACTAACTCTTCTCCATTCAGACACTGAGTGTCTTACTCTAACCCTCTGTTCCCTTCCTTCTAAGTAAGTTTTTATCCATTCCAAGACATTTCCACCTATTCTAGCCATTGATTGCAGCTTCCTAATAAGTCTCCCATGTGGAACAGTGTCAAACGCTTTCTGGAAGTCTAGGAATATGCAATCTGCCCAGCCCTCTCTTTCCTGTAAGATTTGGCTTACCTCATCATAAAATTCTAATAAGTTTGTTACTGTTGATCTTCCTTCTCTGAAGCCATGTTGCCTCACTGACAAAAAGTTGAAGGATTCCAAGTGAAGAGAGATATGTTTCCTTAGTAGTTTCTCCATAAGTTTGCAAACTATGCTGGTCAAGGAAACTGGTCTATAGTTCAGAGCCGTATCCCTCCTTCCCTTTTTGAAGATAGGTATCACATTTGCTTGTTTCCAGCATCTTGGAATCTCCCCCGACTCCAGTGACTCCTTAAATATGATACTTAGTGCCACTGATATTGTGTTTGCGCATTTTTTAAGCACATGAGGGGATATGTCATCAGGACCTGTAGCTTTATGAACATCTAAATCCATCAGCGCTTTGCATACCTCTGTGGCTGTAAGGTTGATGTTCTCTAGTACCGGCCCTTTAGCTTCTATCACTGCAATCTGAGGGGGTGGGGTATTTTCTACTGTAAATACTGACTGAAACTCCTTGTTCAATTCTTTGCAGATCTCTTCGTCCGTCTCAGTGATGCTTCCATCCGCTCTCTTTAGCCTTAAAACCTGTTCTTTTACCTTCAGTTTTCCTCTGATAAAGCTGTGCAAAAGCTTGGGATTTTCTTTAGCCTTCCTGGTGATGTCCCTCTCATAATCTCTCTCTGCCTCTCTCCTTTTACTTAGGTAGTCATTTCTTGCTCTTTTGTAGGTTTGCCAGGCATTTATGTTTTTTCTCCTCCTATACCTTTTCCAGCATTTGTCTCTCCACTCCTTAGCTCTTTTACACCCATTATCGAACCATTTCTCTCTGGCATGAATTACACCTACTTTGGTGACAGGTATGCAGCAATCTACTATCTTCCCATATTTCTCACAAAAGATGTCATACATTTCTTGTACAGATTTGTTGTAAAATAAGGTTCTCCAGTCAATAACTGCAAAATGCTCATTCATTTTGATGTAATCTCCTTTCGGATAGTTCCTCCTCATGTCCTCAGTGCCTCTACTCTCAGGAAGAATATCTTCAATGATATACTCCATCAACAACACACAGTGGTCACTCTTTCCAATTGGTGGTTCATACTCAATATTTTCAATATCCAACACATTATCTGTGAACACCAGATCAAGTAGTGATGGCTCATCCCCACCCCTGGCTCTTGTTGGTTCCATTACATGTTGGTGTAGGAAATTCCCTTGTACGCAATCTAGGAATCTTGCCCCAAATGAGTCCTCACCACTGTGTGGGTCAAGATTTATCCAATCTATCTCTTTATGATTAAAGTCTCCCATAATCAAAATCCTACATTTTTTCTCCCGCGCCATGTTAACAACTGAGTTTATGACTTCAATCGTACCTATATGACTTTCCTCATAAATTTCAAGCCTATTTTGGTTCCTTGGTGGGTTGTATACAACAGTTATTATAATGCTCTCTGACCCAGTATTTATGCGAGCAACAAGAAATTCCCTGAACTCACTTTCTATAGCCAAGTTTATTTCTTCAACTTGAATCCTCTCACTTATGAGCAGTGCTATCCCTCCACCAGTTCTCTCAGATCTTTCGACCCTTAGTATTCTGAAGCCCTTAGGAAAAACTGTGACACTGTTTATGTCCTCACTCAACTTAGTCTCTGTAATTGCTACTATATCTGCCTTACTGTTGTGAATCCTATCTTTTAATTCTACTGCCTTACCAGCTAATCCATCAGCATTTGTGTATAACAATCTTAATGAGGCCCCATATATATATATATATATATATATATATATATATATATATATATATATATATATATATATATATATATATATATATATATATATATATATATATATATATATATATATATATATATATATATATATATATATATATATATATATATATATATATATATATATATATATATATATATATATATATATATATATATATATATATATATATATATATATATATATATATATATATATATATATATATATATATATATATATATATATATATATATATATATATATATATATATATATATATATATATATATATATATATATATATAAACTTCGGGAATGATCTGACGTCATTAATTTTAGACGATGCATATGATCACTGTGACTGATAGTCGTAACTCACCATATTTACGTCTTTCGCATATAAAAACTCTAAACTGATTATGTGATAATCTCTGGATTCAAAAGGAGGATGTTACTTGTTTATGTCTGAAATTACTTATTTAGTATTAGGGCCGATATTTGTGGGCGGCAGTGGGTGCAAAAAATAACTAAAAAATTTAAACAACAAATTAGAAGTCTTGCCTGAATAGGGTTAATTTGGGTGTATATACAACCGCAGCAAACTTCAGGAAGTGGAGGCAACACTAGTGTCTCGGAGAGGCTATGGAAGGGGTGCATAAAACGAATCTTATCCGCCAATTGTTGTGGTTATAGTACAATTTTTATATCGAAATCTCATTCATTACAAGCAAACGGCAATGCACGTCTTTTTTTTCAGAACTGTCATGGATAATTTTCTTAATATTATTTTTTGGAGTGTGATGCATGGACGGAGAAAGAAAATTGCCATCATTGAGCCCGGGGCACTATGAAAATTAGATAGAAAGGAGAAACCAAGGATGGAAGAGTTGTGGCTTGTCAGATGTAAAGGATTAGTAAGAGATGCATATCAAATGTGGCACAATATTCGGTGTTGATGTAGAGATTGGAAAAGTACTGTAACTGAAGGAAGATTTAACATCGAGCCCCTTGTCCAGGCCTATTTAAGTCCAAAACTTTGATGGTTTTGTGTGACTGAGTTGTCCTCAACCTAGATTGTCATTTAGCGATTCCAAGAGATATCTGTTCGTTTTTACGTCATGGACTCCCCTTTCTATCAAGGGCTAGGACGGTTACCGTCTTTCAACGGACTTGTGTTGGCAGATGTAATCGTTACCCTGAGTGCATGCCCTTGCTAACCTCAGACTGTGATGGGGCGCGATCTCTAGAACCTGACGCCTCAAAGTCTTGAATGCCACCGATTGAGCCACGGTGATTACTAGTGCTTCCAAGAGATATATTGTATCTAATGGAATGTATCAGATACTATTGAAATGCAAGATATGTAATAGAATCATGTATTTCCAAATTGGCAAACTGTGAACTTGTCCTAGGCTTGCACAGATTTTTTTTATAAAAAAAAAAAACAGTACTTTGACGCCCTCAATATGTTGCTAATGTCCATTATGGTTTTCCATTGATTTTTTGAGTTTTCTTTTTTCTTATCGATTTGATATAAAATATAAATTTGGCTGGGTTAGGTAAGTTCACCCTAGGTAGGAAGAGGAATTTTGTTTTTAGATGTTTCATCAATTACCTGTTGCATGTTGAAGTAAAAGTAAATATTTACCTGACTGATCAAGCCATTTGCTTTTAGTAACTGCATTCTAGTCCAACTATATATTTTTGAGCGTCAAAGTGCCTTGCACAAAAGAGAGAATTTCAACGTCAAAAATTGTGAAGTACCTTGTTTATAAGTAACCTGAGGGTGTCTTGTCTCTCCTTAAGTGAGTCAACGACCTGAAGGTTTAAGGAAGTCAGATTGTCCAACAGGTGTTGGGGGTACGGGAGAGGCAGAGCTTTCATAATGTGTCTTTGTCACTAATAATCTAGATTCATTAATATTTAGATTTAGGCAGTTTAAACTTGCTTCATTTTACATTACTTTTTGAAATCTCTCTTGATTGTTTTAAGATCCCAGGACTCAACTATTGCAGAAGAGTGCCTTAGTTGTATGATAGTAATCATAGAGCAACTTTGCTTTTGTTGTGAAGGGAGTAAATATATATTTGTAAAGGTTTTAAAAGTGAGACATATATTTGTTCCTCCTTGGCTGTAATTTCTCTTAGCCTAGTTTATGTGCACTGCAGGGCGTTAGGAAGGGCATCCAACCAAAATTCTCCTGTTCCAACTTTTCTGCCCCCACCCCTATTTAAATGGGGAAGAATAGAGATGCATAAACATGGAAAAATAAAGGCCTAGAATTAGCATAATGCTTATAAGTATCGCCTTGAAAAAGAATAGTAAAAGGACTTATTTTATTACAGCCAGTAAAATTTAATAATGCTAAGGACTAACAGTTAGAGAGCAAGAAGACAGTAGGGCAGCACTTAGCATTAATTGACATTCTTGTTATACAATTGCATGCACTTAAAACCAATTGAAGTGAATGTGAACAATGCCTTCATTTGGAGAAAACAAGTTTATGCAACAGTGTATATGCAATACAGTATACCTGTATACAGTATATATGCAGTATTTAAAGCCCAATTACAAAAATAATTTTTAAAAGAGTACTGGGACTTATTACTCTTTTGAATTTAGAGTCAGTTCTGTACTCACTCTCACTAGCAGTAATTTGCTTCTTAAAAATTATGGTATTTCATATCTCTATGTTATTATTACTGTTAGGACATATGTTGGATGAGAAGTGGTGCAAACTGTTGTATTATTTTATTTCATACACTTTATTGTGGCCATCTTGGCATAATGGTAATGTTTGCGACTTTGATTTGCTAGGTCGAGGGTTCGTAGCCCACCATGGTCTGAGATTAGAAAGGGCATTCAATAAGGGTAGTAGTCGCACTTGCCAAAACCAAAGTTCTTAGCAAGAAGGTACCATCATAGCCCTTAGTAGGAAAGGGAGTCTGTGACATAATATCAGTCGCATTTTATTTCATACACTTTGCGTAAAGTCCACTCAGAGCCCAAGTATCAAAGTCCTTTTGCATCTTTTTACTTTAGGCACAGAGTTTCGTGTACAGTACTTGTATCAGGGGGCTGCGGTTGCTCACTGGTAGAGTGCTTTTGGGTAATAACTAATGCAGAATCCTTCCTGCCATGGGGCATTAGGAAAGGCATCCAGCCTTAATTTCCCTGCTCCTACATATTTGTGTCCATCCCCACCTGAATGGGGACTTATTGTGACACAAAATGATGCATGTATATAGTACAGTACTTGTATACTCTTGTGTTGCAACTTGCTGCTTTAGTATAGTATATCATATCATTACAGTAGTGCTTACATATATATATATATATATATATATATATATATATATATATATATATATATATATATATATATATATATATATATATATATATATATATATATATATATATATATATATATATATATATATATTATATATATATATATATATATATATATATATATTCCTATCCTGCAGATGACCCAAGCAGAATGGTGGTTGGAGTTTTTGCAACCCATTATGCCCGGTTAGCTAATAGGAGTGATGGAAGAGTATTTTGGCTTGTGTTGATTGTGCATTCTTTGGCTCAGCCACCTCCCTCACTAGGGTGAATGGAGCCATTGTATATAAAAGAAAAATCTTATTCTTTCTTGTTGTAACTTCTTACTTGTATACTACAGTATTTCATGTACATAGTGTCTCACATTGCATTCAGGATTTATGAGAACTGCTGCGACTTGCTGAATATATATCATTGCTCATACTTTATATCAAGTCTCGCTCAGAAAACAAGTTTGATACTTGTATTACATTATGTTACTTTACTTAGACGTTATTACCCGTTCTTTGATTCTTGCACTGAGAAGAAAAGTTTTTCTACAGTGTTATGAATTGTTATTTAAGTATGTTTCCATGTACTGTACCACTCACATAGGAAACCAGTGTGACAAGAAGTGCTGTAACTTGTAGATTCTGTATTATTTCGTACAGTATACTGTAAGTTGAGACATGCAGCATGATATTTGTAATATTATAGATGGGAAATCCTTGACATCTTCAGTAATGAAAAGAGTAACCCGCATTAATGTGAAGTGTTGAATGGTTAATTTCACGATACTAAGCATTTGCTTTCCACAGAAAGCATACTCCAGATACCAATAGAAGAATACTTCGCTGTCTTGAATATGCTTTCAGTGGAAAGCGAAAACTTGATATTGTGTAATGAATCGTTAAATACATTACACAATTGATGGTTTTTTCCATTATTATTATTATTATTATTATTACTCTTATTATTATGATGCTTAATTACATATACTGTACAGGATACAGTTGTGTATACTGTACTGAACATTCTCTCTCTCTCTCTCTTCTCTCTCTCTCTCTCTCTCTCTCTCTCTCTCTCTCTCTCTCTCTCTCTCTCCTCTTCTCTCTCTCTCTCTCTCTCTCTCTCTCTTTCTTTTTTTTCCTAAATTTTACTACTTTTAAAATATTGATTTAATTAATATTGACTGTTTCTCCGCCCAATACTTTATTCTGCATAATCCTATCATGTTCATATCCTTTAAAGTTTTATGTTATCTGTCTGTTACTGTCATTAAATTTCACTTTTTAATTTCCTTAATATACTCTATTTTTATAAACAAACACTTCCTATATTCCAATAATTTTTACTCTCCCAAATTTGTTAATTTACATGTTCTTTTAAATGTTTATTCTGATATTTTTTATATTACTATTATTGAATTTACTTTTCTAGTTCTTTAAATACTCAATGTTATAAAGAACTGTTCTTTTACTTGGCAGTACCCTTGCCTATCAACCATTAATGTCTAATAGAAAGGACGTTGTTGTTAGCCGTTTGTGTCACTATTAGTGCCCATTCGAATGGGGGTGGACTCAGGTTGGCTGGAGCTGAGGAATTAAGGCTGAATACCCTTACTAATGCCCTTCAGTGGGTTCGATCAAGGGTCTGTCGCTTTCTTAGTTGAGCACTCCAAACACTGGTGTGGCGCATCCTGAATCTCGAGTGCTGTGACCACTGCACTGCCGCAACCCAAATCTTACCATGTCTTTGTCGTTGACAGGAATACAGTGTCCAGCTGACCTTCAGAGAGGAATGGGAAGATGAAAGACTGGAATTTGACGATCTCCAAGGTGAGTAACCTTATTTTTTTTTATGAACCCTTTCGATATTTTATAAGTAGCCCAAGTACCCCCAATTAACCCTATAATTTGCGAGGTTGGGTTGGAAGGGTTGCTAGGTTAGATTTGGTCAGGTTTGCTTAGTATAATAGACTCCAGTGTCTGCTTTTTGTAAAGAGGAGTAACCCCCAACCCCCCCATATAAAGTTAAAGACTTTCCTTATAGATGTGAATAACCATAGATCACCCTGTTGTTACTCTACAAGAGTTCTGTATCTTGCATACACTGGTTATATATAACCTAACCTAACCTTCTCTTTCTCCGCAGGTCGCATAAAATACTTGACTCTGACAGAGACCAACAAAGTTTGGATGCCTGACTTGTTCTTCAAGAACGAGAAACTAGGTCACTTTCACGCTATCATTTTACCCAATGTATACCTCAGGATATTTCCAAATGGAGGCGTTCTCTACAGTATCAGGTACCGTGTTTTTATTCTAAAATTTGATATAAACTATAAAACATTCATATTTTTTGTATTTTGAACTCTTTTATTTATTTATCTTCAGACACAATGTAGTCACTTGCAGCAAAAAAAAGATAAATCTAAAGCAGCAAGGCTTCATTCTACTCTGGCAAAATAGAATATCATGTCGTATGTCTCCTGCTCTTACAATTGTACATGGTGGCCACAATCACTTGAAAGGAATTAAAATGAAAAGTTGCATATATGACATTCTTAATTATTCGTTCATTCTTGGGGATGTTATCATTCTCTTTCACTCATTCATGCACAGCTGTTTGCCATAGAGAACGAAATTGATCAACCACATAGAGAGAGCAGCACAGAAAGCACTTTATGGAAAATTGTCCCACACATAACCACATATGCCACCAACATTACATACACTCCTTCAGGTTTTTTTCTCTACTGTAGTTGGAGCCCACCATTCACTCGTACAATAGAGTAGAAGCAATTATTCCATCTTGTAATACAAACTTAGTTTGTGGACTGCTATAGCACGATGGTTAGAGTGCTCGACTCAGAAAGCTACAAACCCATTTGCAAGCTTTTACCTCCCCGGTTCCAACCTGTGTATGTCTACCCCTGTCCAAATGGGGATTCAAAGTGACACATGCAACAGTATGGAAATCTCATCAATCTTTTCTCAGTACCCACTGAAACTTTGCCCTCTGTGTTGCTCAATGCTCTAAACTCCCATTCACTGACTTCCATCTGCCTGTATGTCAGCTCCTAAGGATGTGAAACTGATATTTTGTTCTAGACTTTTTAATCTTACCTCAGAGTTACTAAACCTACTTACTTTACTGAATCTCATTGCCTCACTCTTCCACATTAACTCAGCCAGTGAGGATGTTACTACATTCAAGACAAAATATCACTAACTTAACCATATTAGTAATATGTTTCATACTTATTGCCTTTTGGCTTATCGAAAGTATTGCCTAGAGGGGATAGGGGAATGAGGGTAGTAGGCTTTCCCTCCCTCCCAGAATTCGTATCTTGCTGCTTTGCAGAATTAACGGTTAAAGGTTTCTAATGAAAGGCAGAAACAAGGGATTTATAGCACTAAAGCCGGACTATATTCCTACAAACTAGCCGAGCCCATGCTCCCTTTCTGATCATGTGGACTCGGTGATCTTCAAGCAATGGCAAAATAATCAGGTAGACCTTAAGAAAACATTTACCCCCCAATTAATTGCCCACTTAATCAGCAACGGCTTGCGACAATAAAAGCAAATCCCAACTTTTGCCAGGATCAAACTTGGGACCAGTATATTACCTGCTCCACTCTCTACCACTGCACCATAATGTACAAAGAACAAGAACCTACAGAGTATCATGAAGCCTTGCTACCTAAAATCTTTGCTGTAATTGTCATTGCTCTGTTTCTTTGGCTGGGTACTGCATCATGTTGGAAAGAAAACATAGTATTTATGATAATGAGAATATAAAGTGAAAATTTTCATATACTTATTGCATATAATTGTTTCCACTTGATAAAATATATAATTGTGTAAGTCTAATATATCTACTCTTTTATTATTCTGTTAAGAGATTTTTCATTTCTCTGACTGAGATGCTCTTAATCTAGTGTTTATGGAAAGGGCTTCAAGGATCAGCAGATTGAAAAGAACAATGTTTATATGCTCTTGTTAATGTGAGCTTGTTATTGCGTTTATGGGAATAATCCCTGTGTTCTTATTTCCCTATGTTTTAGTCTGTTTAGCAGTCTTTGAGTATTCTTAATTAGAATGGCACAATCGAGCAATGCCATTTGGCGCAGAATTTGACACGGCTGTTTTGGCACAACCCATTTTGTAAAGATAGGTTAGACTCTGTTAGGTAGACTACATCAATGTAAGTTACGTTTAATTAGGTTAGGTTTTCAAAATATGAAAATCCTCTGTGCAAAAAAAAAAAAACTTCACCCAATGGGTTGTTACTAAAATTGGTTTTATGCCCAAACATCGAGTACCTATATGGCTATGTCAAAATGTACCAAACCATTTTTTTATATTGTTAGATAGTCCTTCTTTATCAATTACGTTCCTGCTGTCTTGAAAACCTCCATAGCCATTTAAAGATTAAGAACTTCTATTTTTTACATGGAATTGTTTTACATGTTTTATTTTCACAGGATTGGATTATTTAAGTGCCTT